TTTTATGTATTTGAGGTTTGCTAATGTTAGTGTGAGTTTACTGAAATCATGTTACATATATGGTCTTTTGATAATTATTAAGTCAGTCTGGTGGTGGGGCATACTTATAGTCCCAGCTGCTTGGGAGGCTGAACCAGGAGGATCTCTTCAGTCCAGGCCACTCGGGACAGCATAGTGAGACTGGGTCTCAAGAAAGGAAAAAAAAAAAAAAAAAGAAAATTACAATTTCTAATTAGAATGCAGTTTCAAGTTTGAGTCACAGAAGAGAAATTGGACTTTTCTTTTGAATCTGGAGACTGAGGTAGAGACTTACAAGGCGCCTTGTTTACTGACTCAAAAATGGGCTCTGGATTTGGAAATCTTTGAAGTTAATTTCCTGTCCAGCATCCCCTTCTCTGCTTCTTGTTTTTCTTTCGTGACTAAGTAGGGTGAAATTCTAAAAGGCGTTTTATAATCATGAAAACACCAGGAGATTGGGGATAGTTGTAAAACATAATTGAAATAGTTCTCACTTTATTTTTTTTCTATTTTCTTATATCAATAGAATTCCCAAGTGGGTAGGGAGATTTGTTTCACATTCATCTTCTATACTCTGAAACTACTGATTTTGAACAATTTTATAATGTTTCCTAGGCATGTTTACTTATGGTTTGTTTTTTTCGGTCTGTAATGTGGTTGGGTTTCCTGATTAGATCTTTAAAATCTGTTTAATTGCCTACACGTTTCCTTCTCTGATTCCCTCATTTCCTCCTGATTGTGTTTTTTTTTTTTCCCAATGTGGTTCATTAACTCTCTTGGGCTCCCATAAAACTTTAAAGAAGCCGCGCATTATTTTATATGAGTACCACAGTGAATCAGCAGAAGGACTCATAGGTATCTTGAGTGTTTTCAAACCACTGGATTCTGGGTCTACTTTTTGAATTATCAACTATCAACAGAGTAGGCCGAACTCATGTTCTGTTGCAAAGGAACTTCTGATGTTTTAGGCAGTATGTGCCTCTTAGGATCTTGGCTATTTCGGCAGGAATCCACAGGACCCCTTACTTCCTAGCTCTTCTTGGTAAATAGTAGACATTCAATAACTATCTGTTGGGTAAACACCTCTCCAGCCTCAGCATCTGTAATGTAAGGCCATTGGAACAATCCATTTTTATATGAGAATGTTTAACCATGATCAGTATTTAAGCGCAGATAATCTTCAGACAATTTAAGACTGTCAACTGCAAAATGAAGGGATAGAGACCTGTTGTCTAAGTTTTAGTGTCTACAGCAGCAAAGTTTGAGCTGTTGGCTAAGATTTGAAATAGATCTGTACTGTTTGTGATCATCATTATTATCTGCCTGATATAATAGAACTCTGAACACAGCTCATGACTTCTTTGCAAGGTGGAGAGGAGGACAGTATAGGCTGGTAATTGTACAACAGATGATCTTGAGTCAAAACCTGACTTGTATTGGAATGACAATGGTCAGATAGTCTCTGTTTAAATAGTACTTTGACATAAAAGGAGTTGATTGTTTAATAGCCTGGAACAATGTCAAAGTTTTTTTTGTTTTTGTTTTTTTTTTTTTAATCTAAGCAATACCTTAGTCCTAGGCAAAGTATAAACAGCATTTCATATTTAGTCTGGTCTAATCCTGGGGCTTATACCACTATCAGTAGAGGTAATATCTTTTCCTTTACCAACATGGATGAGTAATGTCTGGGGATTTATTGAACATGCCCCTGAATGTAGAAAGAAGATAACTTTTCAGCATATGAACCATATGAAGAAGATTGCTGATGTCTGTAGGAAATAGTAAGGGGTAAAGACACAAGGTATTTTGCTTTTTTAAATGTTACTTATTTATATGTTCAGTAGTTAAACTGGCAACTCTGTTTCTCTCCTATAACTTTTTAAAAAAAATATTTATTTAGTTTTAGGTGAACACAATAACTTTATTTTTTATTTTTATGTGGTGCTGAGGATCGAACCCAGTGCCTCATGCATGCTAGACATGCACTCTACCACTGAGCCACATCCCCTGCCCTCGCCTATAACTTTTAAATGTCTCTTCTGGCTTTCTCCTGCTCATGTTAATTGAAGTCTGATTTATTCCTCATATTTTCACTTCCCTCATGACTTTTTACATTACAGGTTTCTCTTTCTCCTTGTCTTTCCATGTCCTTTGTGACTTTGAACCTTTGCTTCTTCTAGCTCACTCCCTCCCCTCCCCCCATTCAGATCTGTGCTTAAATCCTGAGTTTCTGATTCTACTTGTGTAACTTATTTTTGAGTTTTTTCTTTTCATCATATCTATCAAAGGATGGTATATCAGTTTCCCAGGACTGCTAAGCTCCTTGCCACACGGAGAGTGGCTTAAAACAGTCCAAGTTTACTTTCTCACAGTTGTGGAGGCTGGAAGTCTGAAATGAAGGCTGGTAGGACTTTTACTCAGGCAGCTCTTGGAGTGAACTGTCTTGCCTTTTCTAGGGTCACATGCTGGTCTGCTTGCATGGGTGTGGCCACATCGCAGTGTTCTACTCTGTCTTAACTTTGCTTTCATGTGCATGTGCCTTTCTTTGTGTGTGAAAAATCCTCTTCTCCCTTTCTCTTGTAAGAGCAATTGCCTCGGATTTAGGGCTCACCCAGATAATCCAGAATGATCTCTTCATCTCAAAATCCTTAACTGGAATACATCTGCTAGGACTTTTATCCAAATGTGGTAACATTCGCAGGTTCTGGGAATTAGGATGTGGACTATCCTTTTGGAGACTCCCATTCACCCTGCTACAGGCAGTTACAAGAACTAAATGAAATATAATTATGTGTATATTTACATATATTTAGTTACAGTCTTTAGCTCAAGTCCTGACCAAAGTTGGTACTCAGTAAATGCGAATTCATTTCCTTCTCTTTAGAATCCTATGCCTTCCGTTGTCCTGCATCCGCGCTACATGTCCGCAGTTTGTCCTCCATTCAGGGTGTTTCTGCTTTTGTACCCCCCACTGCCCCCCCTGTTGGACCAACAGGGAATCTTCTACCTTTACTCCATTCTGCTGTGCCTTGGTTGTCCGCATAGCTGTGGCCTGACCTCCCTGCACCTCTCCAGCTGTATAATGTTGTAAAATTATGTTTACAAGACACACAGTAATGCACAGATGTTCTCACTAGCATTCCTTGCTTAGGCCAGTATCGTTTCTGGAAGTTTGTTTTTTCATGCTTGGCTCAGTTCTGCTACTCTGTGGTGGCCTTTGTATGGTTTGATGTAGGACAGATATAAGGTATTTATATCACTGGTAACAAATGTCATATGCAGTTTTGAGTAAAAAAAAAAAAATTCAGGGTTGGGGATGCCTCATGTGCACAAGGCCTTGGGTTCAATCCCTAGCACCACACACATACAAAAAAAAAAAAAGTCCAGGTGCTGTCAACCAATTGTTGTTCATGATCTGTTTGATCCCCTTCCCCACCTCGTTCAGTTGAACTTTTAGATCCTGGTTTAGGTAGAATTATTAATGTTAGTTTGATTTTTTTTTTTAATCGAAAGTTTTCGTACATTTTTGAATGGTTGTTATTTTAGTTTTCTTATTTCTCTTTCTCTTTTTTTTTTTGATGTCCATTCAAGTGGAAAAATATCGTAAAATTTTGTGATATTTATAGCCTAGTATAATAAAATCAACTCTAAACAAGTGAAATCTGATTATAGGACTGCTTTCTAGTAAGTGGGTAGATGTACTCTTAAAAAATGATTGCGGTAAAGCTTATGTAAAACCTGGATGTTTCTATTTATCCTTTATGGGTTGTAGGTGAAAGAAAAAAATCACTCTGCTTCTCTGCTCATTTTATTTCACGCTGTGTTGCTGTGTTGTTTGTAGTTGGACAAGTTCACATTTACATAAAAATGGGAAGAGAGGTAGTAAATGTCATGTTTTTCTCATCTCCCTGCCACCTGGAGAGAGTAGAGTAGAGCCCAGAAAGTTAGTTGAGCTTCTTAGCTTTTTCATTCAGCATTCATTTTCTGAAGAGTGTCATTACTGTGCTCAGTGACAACTTCTCTTAACATTGGAAGAATCACTAAGTGACCCTTGTTAAGTCTTGATTTTGCCCAGAGATGAGCTTCTGCCTCTTGTCTTGAGTGGAGTTCTGACTCCCTGGCTTTGTGACTCCAGAATTGAGAGTGGAAGAGGCTTTGGAGGGCACCTGGTGCAGGGCTGCCTCTGTAAAGTGAGGAAACTGGGCTCCAGTGAGTGTCCCAGGCAGGTACTAAAGTAGCAGAATGTGGACCAGCAGAGGATCTGGGTTTATTGTTCCCTGGGTTTATAGTTACCCATTTCTCCCCAGGAGGAAACTAAGGGCCTGTTTTTAAAGCACTTTTTACAAAGAACTAAGGTTACAAATCATAAAAAATGTACATTAATTTTTTTAATCTCATCATTTTCACGATCGTGGTAGGTATATTTGTGATGGAAAGGGAAGTAATTAACTCTTGGACAGAAATTACCAAAATAGATATTGAGTCTAGAATAGCCTTCTCTCCCAAACGCATGAAAAATATACAGGATCCATTGCAAGATCTTCATGTATACTGAATGTTATGATTTGTGGTATATTCATCATTAAGTAAAGAATCCTTATATTTGTTGAATTTTTGGTTTGAGGGAATTAATGTAGAATTAGAAAAAGAAAGTTTTATGACTTGGTTTGGGAATTTAAAACAAGGTAACATTTTGAAATAACTGTACATTTAATAGTAGAAAATAATTTTGATAAAGAGTTTGTTGTGGTATTTCAGTTTGTTCATTTAGTCTATTTGGTAGATGGATATTGCCGTTTTAATTTTTTCATTTTTAATAAATCTGTTTTTGTACCTTTAAAAAGTAGACAACAGTCATTTTACATTTCTTTTTCCCTTTGGGCATGATAATGGAGTCAATCTTTGTTTATTGGCTAATTCTGAATATTATTAAATAAGCTTATCATATTAATGACATCCCCCCTCCTTTTTTTTTTTTGTAGCCAACACATACCTCTTTATGGTACAAGCTCGAGGTATAATGTTGAGAGAAAATGTGAAAACAATAGGACATATGATCAGGCTGTACACAAATAAAAACGCCACCCTCAATGGCACAGGTAAGACAACTTCCTCTCAGCTTTGCTTGGCTTCTGCTTCTTACCCTTATAGGCATAGAACATTTGACCAGATCTTTGAAACTCTAATTTTGCCTCCCAGTGACTCCCTGTTAGAGATGAAGACTTCTCCTACTAAGTGCACTGGTAGGTTAATTTATTGTGCAAATGAGGTCTGTTCCATATTTTAGGATATATAAAGCTGTGGTTTCAAGGGTGATGAGATTTGGTGTAAAGATACTTAAAAGTTCACTCCTGCAAACATAAACTATACAGAACAGCTTCTGCTTTTTCAGTTCATCTATTGTATTTAAATTAACCACAAAGAATAATTTATTCATCTCAATGAGCCTTGGTACTGTTTATACCTATTCTTATTTCTAAAATGTTTTTCCAACTACTTTGGCCCCATACTTAGTTGTTTTACATTATAGGATATTCTTAATTTTATGACCTTTTTCAGGGGCTAGAAGAGAAGTTTTATAAAATTGGAAATCAGTAGTTGCTCTTTTCAAAATGTTATCTGGAAGTAGAATCTGCATTAGTGTCACAAAAAGTTAAGATTTAATAGGCTAAACTAATAATGATTTGGTGCTGTGAATATGAATGTGGTGTGAATGGGTTTTCTACTGTGGAAGAGGTCTTCCCACAGTGTCTCACAAGTATTGTAGGTTCTGCTTTAAAGGGATCCATGGGATTGATTGTCAGTTGTTGTATGCTCTACAACATTTTAAATGGTTGAAAATAAAGATTTAATTAATGTGCGTCAATGGTTGCGGGTCACTATAGACCTACAATTACTGTTCTACTGTCTCTGTTTCCTCCTCTCAATAGAATGTCTACCTCCCAGCCATAAATGTTGTTTCTTAAAAGTACATTAAGGCATATAGTAGTTTTAGATCCTGCTAAAAAATGCAAGACTACCAATTGCATACCAGTTTGCAATTTAACATCACACATACTTTTACAAAACCCATTCTAGTCATTTGCCTAATTTGTTTTTGACGCTACTAATCAAAACACTCTTGTTTTCCTTTAATTTTTTAGCCTTCATTTCTTTTAGCAAGACTCTCAACATGTGGACATTTTAATAGTACAGTACAGTAAAAATCTCATTAACGGTTTTCTGCATTGATGCTGTAGGCCTACTGAATAGTAGGTCAATTTTAGGAGATGTTTAAAAGATGGTTGTTTTTTATTTTGATACCAGGAATTGAACCCAAGGGTACTTAACCACTGAGCCACATCCCCAGCCCTTTTTTTATTTTTTATTTTGAGATAGGGTTTGATTAAGTTGTTTAGGGCCTCGGCTTCCTGAGTCACTGGGATTATAGGCATGTGCCACTGCACCTAGTGTGAAAGTGTTTGCTACAAGTCTGTTAAACTGAAAAGAAATATTAAGTTAAGGTTACTGTATTTGTGTGAATATTAAAAGTGTGCATATTATAGTTTTTTCCTGAGATATGAATAAGTTATGTGTGGACGTTGAGTTCAATTAGGAGAAATAATTACCTGAGCAAGGCAAATTTTCCTTTAGCAGTACGCGAAAAAGAAAAAAAAAAAAGAAATCCATTCTTCCTCTCACTTACAGTTTCAATAATGACAAAGCAACCAGTGCATACTTTGATTGACGTTTGCTTAGTTTCATGAACCTTTGAAAACCTTTCATATGGTTTTTTTTTACTAATGGGAAAACTGTCCTTAGGAGACAGGAATGGATTTGGTTCTAACAGATGCCTGGAGGTGATGGCTTAGCTACAAAGCCTTTTTGTTCTCATGTAAAAGTCTGGAAGTTGGTCATCTGTGGCTGTTATGGAGATTTCTTCATAAGTCATCACATGCTTTTCGTCTTCTGCTCTGCCACATAGCATCGCAGTGAACTCCCAGCCTGCGGTGGCTTCTGGGGCTCCGTTCTTTGTATTTGTACTTGACTCAGTAGGAAGGAGGAATGAAAGGAAGAAGAACAAATTGGGTACCCCCTTTTAAGGAGCCTTCCCAGAAGTCCCACACAGTATTTCTTCATACATTTCTCCGGCCAGAACTTAATCGCATGGGCACATATAAGTACACTGGGAAATGAAGTCATGGAGCTGGGAACACTGGTGCTAGAATGAAATCAGGGTTTTACCTAAGGAGAGAGGAGTTAAAGTAGTCAGTCCTGAGGCTCTGCCAGGTTCATTGGCTAGCATTTATCAAACAGTTAGTATAGTTTGTATACTCAACTCGATGTGGAAGACACAGATTAGGAAAAACATTCTCCCTTTACACACAGCTTTCTCTAGGCTTGGAGATATGAAAATATAGTTATTTACAATGCAGTTATTATTTCTGCACAGACAAATATATATAAAATTTTGCAAAAAGGAGATAATGACCGATAAGGTGTACCAAGGGCTTAATTGAGCCCTAGAGGAGAATTGACTAATAATACATGGTGGCTCATTTAAATTTTAATAATAAAGGGTACATAGCTTGTTACATTTATGAGTACATTCGATTTCAAAAAGAAGTTTTAAACACCCTACGTGACTTTATGTGGCATCAGATGTAAATAGGTATGTATTTTTGTGCAGAAATCATATCATACTTTAATGATGCCTGCAGAGCCAGTCAAATTAAGAAAACAAGATTTACTCATTGAATAATTACTGAAGTAGGTGATGGGGTCATGCTGTGTCAGGGTTGGTGGGTTGGTTAGAGGTAACCTTGTATGCTTTCTTAGTGGATATATGCGTGGAGACCCTCGGGCATGTCCTGCCTGATAGGGTAAGTTGGTGATGAACAGAAAAGAACTCAAGGGGTTTCTGCCACCCTTTTAAGGCGGCCTTTGTAGAAGAAATAAAGCCATTTAGGAGGTGTCCTTTGGTCCCGTTCTTCTTTTCCGTTAAGTGATAAGGTCCAGTGAGAGTGGAGTAGGGGACCTGTCCAGAGGTTTTCATTTTGTTTCCTTTTTCTTTGGGTGTGGTTCTGGATGGGAAGAAAGAGGAAAGGGCCCAGAACTCGTTTCATTTTCATTCATTCATTAGATGAAATAATGTCTGCCTCTTAACAGCATTGTGGTGGACCTCAAGTGCTTCTGGCATGCATAACCTTTTAAAACTGTCACCTATTTTGAAAGCAGTGGTTATATTTGATGGACATGGCTCACCTAACCACTTGTGTAGGAATCATGATTTTTATGGGTTTATTACAGTATAATCTCCAAGAGCTTAAATCATCATTGGCTTTATTATCAGTTGTAAAGGGTTTATTTGCAGCATGTTCCTGTTGTGCCCTACAGCTTTATTGGATGATAGAAATCAAAGACAATTGAATTTCAATTAAAAGAGGTATACAGACAAAGGACCCGGGTAGTGGATAGAGTTATATATTATCATACATTGGAATGAGGTAAATAGCACTGGACAGAGTGCTCAGGATTGTGGAGACATATCTGTAAGTGTTACAGCCCTTATGATCATTTATAATGATGTGGCTAAATAACATGTTTAGCTCTAGTACTGTATTGAAAGCAAATGAAGATAATGTTGCATGTCTTTTTTTTAAAAAAAATTATTTATGAATGTATTCTTTTATGAAGATTCAGTTATTCTAGCATTAGAATAAACTAAGTGAAACAATTCTCTCTGGTTTTCTTGTCACCACACTCCCCAGAGGGAGTGACTTTAACAGTTTGTTTTGTGGAAATGTCTAGAGAGCTTGAAATTTCAGTGAGTTGGATGTAGGCCTATGGAATTACAGTATGTGGATAAGAAGAGGGGCCCCAGTATTAATGACAAAAATTAGTAAATTATGCAGAGTAAATATTCTGATTTAAAGTTCGTATACAACATTAATAAATCATTTGAGGATACAGGAGAATGTTAATATTTTTCTGCCTTAGCATTATAAGAAAATGAGTTTTTGAAATAGAAAAAGGCAGTGACCCTAGGGACAACATTATTTAACCTCCATTTCCAGCTGCTATAAATGTGTATTATATACTAGGTGCTTAAGAAAAATTGACTGAAAAGATTAAGAAAAAGCATCATATTTATGTAGCTAGTCCATCTGTTCTGGTGGCATATACAAAAATAAAATCTGTAAATGAACTTTGTGTCTGAGTATAAGAGAGCTTGTAAGTGCGAGAGCTATGTAACTTGTGCAGAGGAACTTTCTGTTCTGTAGTTATTGTTTTAACCATTCATGTATTCATATTGAAAAGAAAATTATATAAATTACTTAAATTTTAAGTAGTACACACACATATTTTTTTTTTTTTGGTACTGTTTGTCATTGAGCTACATCCCCAGCCCTTTTTAATTTTTTATTTTGAGACAGGGTCTCACTAACTGGCTGAGGCTGGCTTGAACTTGGGATGCTCCTGCTTCGGCCTACCAAATTGCTGGGATTATAGATTACCCAGTCAGGATCAAACAGAAACAGCAGTCTCCTGTCACACTCTTCCTGAGTCCTAATCCTCCAAGAGAGCGACTTTTGATTTTTAACAACTTACTCTGTGCATATCTTCCTTCTGTTCTGCTGTTCCTCCCTCCCTCCTAGATTGAACCCCCTGCTCTGAGCATGTTAAACATGCATACCCTCTACATTGGGCTACACTCCCACCCTTATTTTGCTGTTTCTTTATTATCAATTGTGACTGTTTCTGTTATGGAAGTAAGACATATGTATGTAATTAAAGGTAGTTTGTTTTCTTAAGTGAAGTAGTAGACATGCTTTTGTGGATCTTTTTATTTTTACTAATGATACTTGTCCCCCTGCCTCCACCCCCATTTGCTATCTATGCATCTCTTACTGGGTTTTTTTTTTTTTTTTTTCCTGAGCAGTTTAGGAACATGAATTGACCACACTTAAGAGGATTTCATATTCCCATGTCATTGTTTTCTCTGATCACAGTTACTAGATGTAGATGAGTTTTTTCCTTTCTGCAGACTTGTAGGATTTTTTTTTTTTTTTTCCTGATCATGAAATTTTACAAGGAACATCTTGGAGCTTTGTTTTTCTTCTCTCTCTGGGTACGATGGGCCTATCAGTATGGAACCTCTCGTCCTTTGATTCTACAGAATATTCTCTATTATTTCTTTGATTATTTGCCTTCCTTTTCCCCACCCTGCCTTCTTTTTGGAACTATTTGGATTTGTGGCTTCTGAAAGAATCATCTAAGTTTATCATCTTTTATTTTTTGGTTTTTATTTTTTTTTTCTTTCTAGATTTTGGGGGATTACTTTGACTTTATTATAATCCTTTGATTTAATTTTTCAAATTTTGACAAACTTGTAATTTTTAAGAGAGAAATGCTATTTGTATGTGATTTTTTTCTTCCTGTGTACCTGAAATAGGAATGCAAAATAAAGTTTAAGTTACAAGCAGTAAAATCTATTTGTTGATTGGAGATATAAATAACTCTTAGGTATGAATCAAGGAGTTTGACCAAAAGGTACTGCAAAACTCAACAGTAATAATCTTAGCTATTTTTTGTTGAGGTGACAGAAATCTAACTTATGCTTACCACTAGAAAAATAAGAGTCCCCGTAGAGGTGAAACCATTTTTAAAATACGAAAAACTGTCCTGTGAATGGATAATTTGAAGGTAATGCACTCCACTATTGTCATGTATGTAAGATATAAATAAAAAAAAATAGGACTTGAAATTGATATACCTACATTTTTTAAAACCACCTTAAGGAAAGAATCAGAACCTTGTAAGACTGCCTTACACTTGTTTTATGTTTGTCCAGTATCTCTAAGTCTTATAGATAAATGTTGGTGGGATGCATAATGTGGGCCCCAGGAGGAGTTTCTATGACCCCGCTTTGTCCCTGGGCACACAAAACCATGCCCATTGAATCTCTCCTGCCCCTAGAGCCTGCAGGATCTTCCTTGTCAGATGCTTTCCAGGACTTCTGGAGAGGGCTGGGGGAATTCTCTTACTGGGGTTTTCCTACTCCCTGGTGGAATTGTCCTTAGCAACTGTACCAGCATCGTTCTCTATCGTGTTTGCTTTTTCTGGCAATACAGTTAATGCCTTATTGATGACCTGTCAAGTTAATAACGGAGCTTTCCATGCAGCTTTTGAAATTGGACCTTCTCCTCTGGCTTCTGTCTCTTCCTTGGTAGAGAGGTCTGGAGCCTTTGTCCATCAACCTCCATGTGGCAACCTTGGCAGGGCCCTGTTTCATAGATGGACCTGGAGATGGGGTGTATTTCTGTCCTGAAATGTTATTCTGGCTCTCAGCTGTAGCCTCATCAACTCAGTTTTGATAATGAATGAATATTTATACAGGGGACACATTTAGTTTGCTCTGACTCTATTCACATACCTCATAAGCATACTTCTGCCATTTTCCCATGGGTCCGAGGGTCTGGCTTTTACCTCTTTCATTGGAGCTGATCATTGAAGATTGAAAGAATATCTTCCCATTTTCCTAAAGTGTTTGTTAGAGCTTCATTTTCTGTGGTATCTGGTTGGATCCAGGAGACAGTTTTTTTTTTTTTTAGTTGTAGTTAGACACAATACCTTTATTTTATTTATTTTTTATGTGGTGCTGAGCATCGAACCCAGTGCCTCTCACATGCTAGGGGAGCACTCTACCACTGAGCCACAACCCCAGCCCTAACAGACAGTAGTTTAGTCAATGGCTTCCATCTTTTATCTCGTATGCACTGTATTCTCTTAATCTTCATAGCAGGAAACGGACAAGTTGTGGTTCTTAGATTTGCATTTCAGAACTTTGTTCCAAAGAGGGATTGAAACGTGATCTCTTTGGTTCCACATTTAAGAATCCTAAGGTTCTGATTGTCTCACGCTGGGTCAGGTGCTCTTGTCTAAACCAGTCACTCATAGCAGTAACTATTGGGTATTTTTATAGGCCCAGAAGTATTCTGAGCTCTTTATGTACTGTAGTTTATCAGAAATCTGAAAATGACAATAGCAGGCAGGCAGAGATGAGAAACTGAATAGTGTCCTACCCTGAAAGCTAGTACATGTTAGAGCAAGAGTTTGAACACAAGGATTTGAACTTGGTGCTCGGAACCACTGCCCTATGTACAGCATAACTTGCTGACTCTAAGGAGAATGGACCAAACTGTAATAATAGCCTCAGGGCTCCCTAGGAGCTGATGCGGGAAGGCTGAGAATGACTTAAAGGTGTAGAGTAGGCTGTGTTAGAGAAGTAAGTTGAGTGGGTGAATCTTTCTTTCTTACTGTGAGGTGTTAAGAAAACATTAGTCCCACCCCTCTGTTCTTTGGATGCTAGTAGCAGTGTGCTGGGTTGAATGTGGTTGTGAGATAGTGGACAGAATTCCCTGGTGCATCTCTGTACTCCCTTTAGATCTGGCCCAGCCAATGGGTTGCAAATGGTACTGCTGTTTGTGTGAAAGGATGGGGCCAAGCTGCTTTCTAGGCGTCTCTTGGGAAATCTTGACGAGTGTCTGTTCCATCAGCAATTTGCTTTTCTCTAGTTCTTTCTAGATAATTGCTTTAAAGTACTTCTGTGGATTACCTATTGTAGTCATCCCATTGACAGTGACATTTTATACTAGAAGCAAAGCAGAAGGCAATTTTTTTTTGGTTATAACTTTCTTCTCTCTCTCCAAGATTATCCTGAAGGCAATAATTCAAGTGACTATCTTGTTCAAACAACAACGTATCTCCCGGAAAACTTCACATATTCACCATTTCTTCCCTGCCCAGAAAAACTGCCTTACATGCGTAAGTGTGAGCTAATTTTGACTTATCTGTTTACTTGTGTTATTACAAAAAGAAAAAAGCCACATGATTTGAGCACATTACAACTGTGGGTGATAATGTTCATATTATGCAGCATGTAATTTTGTTTGTTTGTTTTTTTTTTGCAAGGGAGAGCAACTTTTTGGATGGTAGTGATTGAAAAATGGAAGAAAAATAACAAAAGAGAAAATGACGAATACCCATATTCCTACCATCCATATTTAAAAACTATAATTTGGCTTGCTTACTTCTAAAAGCTTTTGTGAGAGTAATGTGTAGTCTCAGTTTCCTATTGGATATATTAGAACATTACAGATTAAGCTAAAGTCCTTTTGGATCACCATTCTGATGTTTTTCCATCTTCTCCCTCAGAAGGCACCTCACTTCTTTTGTGTGTATTCCTGTAGGCTCTTCAAAAATTTTTAAAACTTAGGTAGATGCTAGATACATGAAAAATATTCAGTTTCTAAAGTTTTAATAATTTATAAAAATGGTCTTATAAATTATATTTGACTCTGACTTGCTTTTTTTAGTTACTTTTTTTGAGAACTATCCATGTTGTTACATATAGATATAATGTATTTCTCTTAATTGCTTAACTGTTGAAGAGTATGTTTTTGTATAAATGTACCATATTTAATTTACCTGTTTACCAGCTAATACACATTTAGGTTGTTTTCATGTTTTTGGTATTACAAAATAGTATAATAATAATGAATAAAATATAGATCTGTGCGTGGTTCCGATTTTCCTGTGCATGTATATATATATGCATTCGTGCTTGAGGTGGAATTACTGGCTCTGCTGGCTTGATTTTTCCATATTTTTTCAAATTGTTCTAAGCAGCTATACCATATTTCCATAAATGTACCAATTTGATATTGATGGACTTTTTAATTTTTGCTAACCTGATAGATTAACAAATGTCTTAGTTTTTACTTTCATTATTACTAGTAGGCTTAAGTAAATTTTTATATTTGTTTTTGAATTTTTCTCCCATGTGACTTGCTTGGGCTTTATTGGTTCCTTGTTGGTTATTAGGTATTTGTATTGATTTGGAGGATTCTTTATATTCCTGCCGTGATCTGTTGTCTTCTCTGTGTGTTGAAGTATCTTTTTTTTTTCAGACCTGGACTTGTCTTTTCTTTTTGTTAATGGAGTCTTTTATTTTATAAATGTTTAAAATTATGATTTTCAAGTGTGTCAGTCACTGCAATGTTTTTGGCTTTTTCTTATTCCAAGGCTATACAAATACCTTTATCCTCTCCTAATAATTTTAATATTTTGTTGTTAACTTCTGCATATAATATGTGGTAGTGACCCAGATATTGTATACTTTAAACTTATATTTTTTCAAAATTAAGAGGAAAGTGATTGGATGTGGTGGCACACTCCTGCAATCCCAGTGCCATAGGAGGCCAAAGCAGGAGGATCATAAGTTCAAGGCCAGCCTAAAAAAAAAAGATTAAAAAAAAAAAAAAAAGATTTACCTTTCTATGTCATCTAAGACCATGATTTTCCAACTGGAGGTTATCTCAGAATCACCTTAATAATCTTGTAAAAGTGCCAGATTGAATTTCAGTTTCAGTAGGTCCAAGGTGGTGCTGAGAATTTTCATTCTAACATATTTAATGCTGATGATCCCTGAGCCACACTTTGACTGCCCTGCCACCACCTCATCTAAGGTAGTGACTCTCATTTCTGGCTACCTGATAGAATTGCCTGGGGAGCTTTTACTATTCGTGGGCCCAACCTGTAAATTCCTGATTTTGTTGATCTAACCTGAGGCCTAGGCACTTGTTGAAAAGAACAAATACTTGAGTGATTCTGACCTTGCTGTCTCTGCTGACAAGAGATTTTTGTGGCCATATGTTTTTCATAACTTTGTTATTACAGCCTTGTTTTCCTAAAAAAATGAGTGTTTCTGTCTGCAGTACTGAAACCACTGGGTAATGTTCTGTTGAAATATTGATTACAGTAATTTCTTCTTCATAATATGCATATTCAGGGATTTATGGTTTTAGGAAATCTTTCTGTCTTTGGTTTAGTTACCATTTTCTTAATTAGTGCTTTATGAGTACTAATTAAACATCTGTAAAGTGTCTGCCTGCCAGCCCCCTGGTGCTAGCATTCCACTCTTCCAGTCCTGCAGCTTACTGTAAGTACCTCTGCCCTGGAGCTCCAGGGATTGCTTCATGGCTGCTGTGGCTGCCTTTCTGCCCACTTGGTGCTGTAACTGCTTTCTTCTGCCGTCCTTAACGTCTTGCATTCTTTCACAAGGAAGATCACACTGGTTTGGCAGCCACTTTTTCAAGGCAGGCTTTCTTTCAGGCTACTAGCTTTGGGTCCAACACCAATCAATCTCATGTCCAGGTAGTAGTGGCCAGGGGACTGGGTTATTTGGTAGAAAATAAGCCGATACATAGGTAACACTTGAGAAAAGGGACCATGGGTACAACCAGCATAGTGAGGATTCTGCCAGAAATTTTTTGCATAAGCCACCTAGCAGAGAGAGCCCCTTCACTGGTCATGTGACCTGTGCAAAGGGGAGCCTCTGTTTTTACCTATCTGTAAAGTCTGAGATTATAATGCCATCTTTAGAGTGTTTGGATAAAGTGAAGCACAGTACCTGAAGCTTGGGTGACATTCATTTAATAATCCCTTTTCCTTCTTCTTTGAATGATGGACCTAGATTTTACGATGAAAGGAATTGGAAACCAAGGAGAAATGTGTGGAGTTGTTTTACAGTTAACTGAGCATCCTTAGTATTTTCCTTAATTAACAGGATATTTCCCATTGATAATAGAAAACATAACAAAAGACCTAATGTAAAATGTTGTATCACACACAATAACTGAATGTAATACCTTCTCAAATAGGAGAGGGAATTTATGTAAAGAATGAGATCCAGTTGGATGAAAACCATTCAAGTATGAGTGATATTTAATTTACATATAATTACCAAAAGGGAAGTTAACTTAAAGTGCTTGAGGATCTAGCTGTCAATCCTTCATGATTTTTCTGTGTAGCATTGGGACTACCAGCACTGGTTTTCCATTCAGTTTGAGTTTTTCAAATTGAAATTAAGAATAAAAGCTTTTCATGGATTTCAGCCGTTTGATATTTAGTATTAGTTACACTGTGAAATCTATTTTAATGTGTATTACTTATATGAAGAGTATGAGTGAATACTTCATTAACTATTATCATTTGCAGATTCTCTAGAGGGAAAATCCACTTTCAGCTTTATTGACTGTATGTAAGACTGTTCCAACCAAGTAAAATAGAAATTTCATCCTATTTAGAGCAAAAAACATTAAGTGCTTTGCAAGGAAGTTTGAGTTTGATTTGTCTGGGTAAGGTAGAAATAGATGGTGTAAGCTGTATGCTCTGCATTAAAATATATAGACTTACCTTACGTTTTCCTATCTTCTAATTCTTATTCAAACAAATTACATTTGCAGTGACATTTATATATGCTGTTCCTGCTGTTTGTGCAATAGTTGCCTTTATGGTTTAACCTGATAGTTCCTGTAGTTGCTTAGCTTCTGTATATAACAAAAGGTACAAGGGCTTTTTAAGGTGAATTTAAATAATTCAAATGCAAATCATCAAAGAGGGGAAAAATGGGCAAACTTCAGAAAATTCAACTACTGCTTCATATGACAAGCCATCATGCGTATGCTTATTGTAAAAAGACAGATGTGAGCCATTTTAGAGTAAAGAAACGATGGCTGAACAGCAGCTGCCCAGCCGTTCTGGGTATTCACAGGGGCAGGCAGAGGAGAAACAAAGCCGGGTAGGATCCTCAGGGTGCTGGCTAGAAACAGGCAACACACTGAGAAGGGCAGCTGCCACTAGGAAGGTAATAGATGAGGCTCAGGGAAGACAGCAGTAAGAGAGGGACTCTGGAGGTGGGTCTTCAAGATAGCTCAGTGGGTAGCTGTGAAGGCCATCAGCACCTGAGGGGGCTATGTGTGTTCCTGCCACAGAGTGTGCTGCAGCTGGAGGGGGGCGTGTAAGTGGGGTGTGCAGGAGGCCACACTGCTCAGGGAAGTGCAATGCCCTGTGCAAAGCACTGTGTAAAGGCATCCCTCGGTGTCTGTGAGTTGGGCTTCAGGGGGAGCAGATCCCTGAGCTGGTATGCAGGGTTGATTTATGAGCCTGTGAGCATTTCTCTCAGATGAGAGCACACAGTTTTCAAAGGGTCTGGGGCAAAAAGGGTGGAACAAAACTCAAAGCAAAAACACTGTTGTAGGGGAATGGAAAACCATCAAAGGCTTTAGGCACATGAAGATGGACTAGGAATGTGCTTCAGAAAGATGATTCAGATGAGAGGTGAACAGTGGATGAGTGTGGGGAAATTCTGGAATCAGGGACACCAGTGAGGAACTTCCTGCAGAGGTTAGAGAGGAAAGGACAAGGGCGTGAGCTAAGGCTGTGGTGTTGGAGAGGAAGAGGCACAAGAAAGGAGCTTCAGGGTGCCCAGGGCTAGATGTCAACACTGACTGGGGGACTGGGGTTGATTTCTGCTTCCTGACTTGGTGATGGTTAACTGAAAGAAGCAGCCCAGGGTAAACATCACAGGAATAGAATGAGGAAGTTAATGAGTTTGGTTGGGCATGTTTTGTTTGAAGTTCAGGAAAATTAACTTGGGGTCTGAATTTCATGGGCGAGATCTGGACTGCAGACAAGAGGAAGTGCAACTGGAAGAAGGCAAAGAGCGGGGCCCTAGGAGGAACAGCACTCCTGGGGCCGAGACCTGTTCAGAAGAGGAAACCATCAAGACAGAGGGAAGTCAGAGGACAGTGTCCCAGGAACCACTGAGAAAAGCATTTCAAGGAGAGATTGTTTCTTCTTCAAAGAAGCAGGTAGAATGAGCAACTGTGGAAAGGCAAGTAGGAAGTTAATGCAAGCAATTTTGTTTAGTCCACTGGGGTAAAAAGTCAAGTATATAGTCCTGAAAAATGATCAGATGTATG